CGCTGTGGTAGTCCCACAGCCGCACCGTGCGATCCTCGGAGGCCGTCACCAGACGTTGATCGTCGAACTGCAGCGCGCACAGGCCTGCCTTGTGGCCCCGTAGCGTCGTCGACTCCTGACCAGTCCCCAATGACCACACCTTCACATCTGCGTCGGAGCTGTGCAGCACGACACGCACGACCCACGACACGAAAGGGGTAACATGCAATGATGAGGCCGGCGCAGATATGTGAAGGTGTGGTCACTGGGGACTGGTCAGGAGTCGACGACCAATGAGAGCCCAATCAATGAACGCTGGTGGGCTAACCTGGAGCCGGTCATGACGCAGTCCAGTTGGGCATCGAGCTGGATGGAGTACACACCCGGGTGGTAGAGCGTCCGCACCTGCCGCAGGATCGGCCCTCCCTCCGGCGGAGGTGATCCCGATGATGATGATGATGATGATGATGATGATGATGATGATGATGATGATGATGATGATGATGACGACGATGATGACGATGATGATGATGATGATGACGTTCGGGTCGGGTGGGTGAAGTTCCACAGGTGGATCGAAACCCGTCCGATGCAGACGCGGACGACCCAACCAACCCCTTCCCACCCCGCCCCGCCCCACGACCAACGGCGTTCCCAAAGGAGTGAGTATCGCACTGCATGTTCTTCCGCACGCACACACGCACGCACGCACGCACGCATACCTGGTGGAGGGAAAGGCTGTTGATACCGGCTCTGTGGTTCTCCTCGGTGGCGATTGCCTTCATGGACTCCAGATCCCACACTGTAAGAATATGTTGCGTATGGTATCATATGTTATGTGAGGAATGTGAGGGAAAGTAGGAGGAGGAGGAGGAGTACCCTTGATGAGTCCGTCGGCAGAGGCCGAGATGAGCACGTCACCGTCGCCACGTGCGTTGTTGTTGTTGTTGTTGCTGCTGCTGCTGCGAGCGAGCTGGAGGGCGTAGATCGATGATCGGTGGCCCATGAGCTTCTCCTCTCCGTAGTCGCCCCGCTTCCAGTTGGTCCACACGCGCAGGCTCTCCTTCGCCCGCCCCTTCCACGACTCCCCCCTTGCATCTGCCCCCGATCCCGTACAGCCTGAGCCTCGTGAGGCACACGAGGCACACACGGCACACACGGCAAGTGAGCGTACCGCGTGGGGTCACACGGGCATTGGAGATGGGGCTTGTGTGATTGTGAGTGGCGGGATGGGCGAAGAGGGCGTTGGCGCCCACGCCTCGGCCCCACGCGCGAGCGTAGAGCAGTCGCCAAAGCGAGTCGTCGTCGCTCAGCGCTGCCATGTGCGTGCTCACCTGGTGTCCAGCGCTCGACGCATGGCGCAGATACCGCACACGACACGACACGATCAACGGCACGCACGACGCAGGTTAGTGTGCGCGCTCGACCAGATATGTACGGATTGGGGGGGGGTCGGGTGCCTGAGCCATGGCGCGAGGTCGCGCATGGCCGAGGAGTCGGAAG